ACAGGAAACCTGGGGTGCACTGCACAACCTGAGGGCAGGTCAACAGGGTGGAGAGTGTCCTCTCCAGGCAGCTCAGCTGCTCTGAGCCTCTTCCAGGCAGCTCTGTTGACATCTCTTTCCAGCAGGGCTGCTGGTTTGAGAGAAGCAGCTGGAGTCCTTAGGGATTATATATGCTCAGGGAGGGAGAGGCCTAGTGAACCTGGTTAATTTCAGGAACTTCCTGAAGCTATTGAGTTGTTCATTTCCTGAGCATGATGCTTCTCTACCCTAAACTCCATCCTATGGAGTGTTCACCTCCCCTCAAAACATCCCTCTCTTCAGAACATCCTGTCTATCCAGCTTCCCTCCAGGATGAAAGGTTTATCTCAGAGGAAACTGCCACACAATAGCTCATTAACTAGCCCTATACCTTCTAATTTTTAACTAAGTTTGAAAATATGAACAATGAAAGTTTCAAGTGAAGAAAAGGATCATCTTTTAAAAAGTATTTTATTATTTTTATTTTATGTGTATGAGTGTATTGCCGGCATCTGTGTAAGTGTACCTGTTCTAGTTTGTCTCTCCATTACTGTAACAAAATACTCTGACCAATACCAACTTGGGGAGGAAAGGGTTTATTCAGCTTACATCTCCCAGGTCACAGTTCATCACAGAGCCCAAGGTAGCTCAGGGTAGGAACCTTGAGGCAGGAGCTGGAATACAGGCCATGGAGGTATGCTGCTTTCTGACTTACTCCCCTGACCCATGCTCAGCCTGATTTCTCATACAACATAGGCCCACCTGCCCAGGGGTGGCACCATCCACAGTGGGCTGGGCCCTCCCATATCACTCGGTAATCAGGAAGATGCCCCACAGACATGGCCATAGGCCAGTCCAATGGAGGCAAATGGCTACCTAGTTGAGACTCCCTCAACTCAGGTGTGTCAAGTTGACGCTAAAGCTATCCATCTCAGTACCCATGTTGTGCAATGCCCACAGAGACAGAGGAGGGCATCAGATCCCCTGGAACTGGAGTTATGGACAGCTGTTAGCCACCATGTGGGTACTGGGAACTGAACCCAAGTCCTCTGCAAGAGCAGCCAGTGCTCTTAACTGCTGAGCCATCCCTCCAGCCCCCAAAAGGATCACCCTAGCATCCTAATAAACACCTTTTACACCAGGGACAAGAACCAGAGGCCCTGGCACTGTCCGGAGGTTTAAATGGCTTAATGAATTTTCTTTTTTTAAAGATTTATTTTTTATTTATGTGTATGTGTGTGGGTGCCCATGAAGGCCTGGGGAGGGTGTTGAATTCCCTGGAGCTGAAGTTACAGGTAGTCGTGGGCTGCCTGATGTGCTGGGAACTGAACTTGGGTCTTCTGGAAGAGCAGCAAATGCTCTCAACTGCTGAGCCGTCTCTCTAGCCCCTGAAGTTTCAGACTTTTTAATATTGTCTATCTACTTACAACTATTTTGGTGATTTTGAAATAAGGTTTATGAAGCCATAGGAAGGACTTTCTAATGCTTACTGTGCTAAATATACAGCTATAATAAATTTTACTGGCCATATGCTTAAATTAGAATTGTAAGCTAGCTTTACACTTTTATTTCACTGTTATTATTGAAAATATATTCCAAGTGGAAATGACTAAGCCCCAGGAAGGAGGGGCCACTTTATGAGAATTTTATTACTTTGATAACAAAAAGGAAGAAAAATGGAATAGGGACAAAAACTAATGCTTTCTGTGTACTTATCATGGCCAGGTGGGTTATTATATATTAGTAGGTCAGCCTCTGCTTTGAATAATCCTATTAGGCAATATTATCATTCTTTTCGCAGATGAAATATCTGAGGTTCTGCAAAGCAAATGACTCTCTCAGGGTTGTAACTTAGGGGCTGGAGAGATGGCTCAGAGGGTAAGAGCACTGGCTGCTCTTGGAGAAGACAGGGGTTTGGTTACCAGCACCCATGTGCTGGCTAACAATAAGTCCAGTTCCAGGGGACTGGACTCTGTGGGCATTGCATGCACAAACAAAGGCAAAGCACTCATATACATTAAAAAAAAGTTATCACCTAGATCAACAGAAGACCAGAGTTCAACCTGAGTCTTCCTAGCTTCTTTCCAACATTTATTTTGATTCACATATATTATATATATGTATTAAAACCATGCACATTTTATCTAGCTTACTCTAAAAAGCATATAATTGTATCTTAAATACTTTTCAGCTCTTACACTTCATAATCACCATCTTAATGACTGTGTGATATTTTAATACATTTTTGAGATGTTGGACCACAGTTTGTTTCAGAATTACTCTGATGTGAACATCTAGATTGCTTAGGTTAGGGCTTAGAACCATGAATTGGATCAAATCCAGGTTCATAAAATTGCTAAGGTGGTTTGTAATTATTTTTCTGGATCAAATGTTGTGTTTATAACTCACTTGTAGTTGGTGGTTTGTAATTATTTTTCTGGATCAAATGTTGTGTTTATAACTCACTTGTAGCTCTTAACTTCTTTTTTTCCTTTCGTCATCTTCCTTGAAATCATATTTATTCACATGATTAGACTGACTTAGATAGTTGTACTCAAGTACACGGAATTAAGCATGTACTTGTGTGTCTCAGGTTTCCACTATGGTGTCCAAACACCTTTTGCTTCCTTCCTTTGCTCAGGACAAACCGCTTTACTCTTGAAGTAGCACTTTCTGAATCTAGGTGAAGAGCTAGCTTAGGAGTCCCAGGACCTTGCTGGTAGGTACCTAAATGCACCTCCCACTTCTGGCCAGTAGATGTCTCTGTTTCATTCACCGTCCAAGGCAGGTTCCTCTTGAATGGGAAAACTTGGGAACATAACCAGAGGTGAGAGATATCCCTTCTGCCACCTCCCACCATCCTCCACCTGGCCCCGCCCCACTCCTCTCACCTAGTTTCTTGATGCCTACAGGAAGTTGGAGCAGGGTGTCTGGGTATCAAAGCACAAAGTGGGAACTGGTGACTGAAAGCGGTCTCCCCTGAGCCAAGGCTGAAACCTTTTTTTCTTTAAATAGCACCGCACTCCCAACTAGAGGCTGTATTACTGAGTCATAACAATTAATTACATTCGGAGGTGAGAAGGCAGGATTTAATGCTCTAATGCGATTTGAATTTAGGCTGTTATCTCATCCCACTGCTATTTAAAATAAAATCACTTTTCTATGGAAGCATCTGCAACTAAGGACGATTTCAAAGCTTGTCTGAAGACATCCTTGGCAACCGAAGGTTCCTATTTTAGCTGCCTGGGGGGTTTCATACGTACATTTAGATTTTCTGGATTTTTTTTTTCTTAAATGAAGCTCATCTCTTTTCCTTTGGGGACTTTGATTAAAGAGAGATAGGGGGGCTAGGAAGATCTAGTCTTTTTTTCTCAGAAATTCTCTAGGTGTGGAGAGTGTGCAAGTGAGCTAGTTATTAGCAAAAGGAACAAGCTTACCTGAACACAGGGACCACAACAGCAAGGGTACAAGGCACATTTCCACAGAGGACAGGCATTCACGCAGGTTGAGCAAGGGCTTTCGGAAACGTCCAGAGCAAGGGGCCGGGACTGGGGAATGGGCTGAGCGAGTTTCCAGAAGCTGGGGCCTGCGTATGTCTAAAGAGATCTGTGCAGCTTGGCAGATTGGGTTTGTGTCCTTGGGAGTTGCTGGCAGATGTGGTGAGCTGAAGGTTGGGCTCCAGAGTACTTGGCTCCATGGAAATCAGTGCCCTCATGCAGGATAGGGAAGTGAACCCCTGTCCCAGGACCAGGAGCTGGTTTTGACATCACAGGGGTGACCAGGCTGTGTGGTGGCCCGGTAACACTTCTTCACCTGTCCCGCCGTCCGTTGCGCCTTGCCTTCCTTCCTTGGTACCCTCTACCCTCTGTCCCACTCTCTGTTCTACTCCAGAAGCCGTCCCAGCCACATTCTTCAGTGCTGCAGACCCAGCTTCCGGCCCTCTCAGCCCACCTCAGATCCCTCGCCTCAGATGGCTGCTCTTTCCATGGAGTTTCCGAGGTCAGAAACTCCCAACTTCAAGTCAATGGAATGTGTATTCTAGCCACTCTCTGGCCTTTTGACCAAGGCAAGTGACCCAGACTCAACGTGCCTCATTTGACACACCGACAGCAGGAATTTTAAGACTTAACTTGCAGAAGTGCCTGGACAGTGGGGAGGCCAGGCGGGTACAGGAGACAACTCTGTCTCTTAAGGTTAGCACTAGCCTGGGAACCTCCAGACTGGGGCCCAGTATAGCTTCCCTGTGGGTTCTGGGAACTCCTGCAGCACTTGGTAGATCTCGGGGTGGATTCCTGTCGCGGATCTGGCATGGGTCTTCTTGCCCATTACAGCACCGCCCCATGCTAATGCCTCTAATCTTCAGGTCTTTCTGTAAGCCTCCTCCAGGGCCCTGTTGACATGCTCTTCTCTCCCTTTCATCAATCAGTCCACTTGCTTTTCTGCCCAACACTTATCACCGGTGGGTGGACATGGTACTGGCTCTTTCAGGAGTCTTCTCCATCACAACCATCTCCACCATGCCATGTAATGTAAGCACAGGAGGAGGGGGACACGCTTTCCTCTACTGAGCGTCACAGCATCATCAACCCACCGAGGCAACTGGACCATAATAGGCGCTCTGTTAACTCAATGGAGGGAAGTCTCTCCCAGCACCTTGCCTTCAGAGACCCCTGCTGAATGGAAGCCTGAGACCCAGGAGCAGTGCTTTCTCCTCTCAGGAGGCCACCGTCCCCCAGCAGGATCCTGGCCCTTTCTCCCCAGCCACTTTGGGCACTCTCCCAGATCCTGTACCAAGGTGGGGAGAGGGGCTTGCTCTGCTTCTAGCCTCTGCGCTCGATCCACCCCCTAGGGTTTGTCGGCAGCTGCACGTCCTTCCCACACCCCTCATCCTCCTACGGGCCCGGGGGCGCCGGTTCGCCCCGGCAGACGCCCGCCCCGGGCATGCTCAGAGCGCTCAGGTCCGGGCGGGTGGGGTGGGGGGGAGGGAGCGGCCGCCGTGCGTTCCCGGGTCCGGGCGGAGCTGCGCAATCGTCTCGCATCTGTGCTAGGACTGCCGGCAGCGGTGCCCACAAGTTGCCGGCAGCCCAGCTCAGCGCCGCCTCCTCCAGCTCGCAGCCCCCTGCGCCCACCGGCGGCGGCCGGAGCCTGGACGCACAGCTCGCCCACGCTCACCCCAGATGTGACAGCGGGACCGCGGTCCCTCATTCCCTGGGCGCGCGATCCAGAGTCTCACCAGCGTCTCCTCTGCAAAAACAAACAAACAAACAAAAAAAACAAAAAACAAACCCACAGCTGGAAGATGTGGCAGCCGGCCACCGAGCGCCTGCAGGTAAGGGGCACCAGGGAGGCTGGGGGCCAGCCTGGAGGAGGCGGTGCCTGGCTGCAGGAGCCAAGGTGGGGACTGACCCACTTGCAGGGATTTACACACACACACACACACACACACACACACACACACACACACACACCCCCGGATCCCAATCCTGTAAGATATGGGAACTGGATGCTGTCGGCTTAACCTGGACACACACACACACACACACACACACACACACACACACACACACCCGGATCCCAATCCTGTAAGATATGGGAACTGGATGCTGTCAGCTTAACCTGGAGCCCAGCATCCCGGAGGGTCCGGGGATGAGGAAATTGACAAATGCAGTTTGCAGCCTCACAACTTTGGCTTGGAGGTGTTGGTGCGCCTGTTGGTATAAATAACGTTGGACTTTCTGAACAGCATTTAAGACTGCATTCCAGTGGCACAATTTACTGGTCTGGGGTTAGTATATTTGAATCCAGATATTCCCCCTTTTTGTCTCTAGGAAAGAGGGAACAAATGATTTGTGAAAGCCTGCATTTGCCAATATAATTTGGAAATGTCAAGCTTGGTTTGGCTTGGTCATGGTATGCTACTTATTTTCTTCCCCCTTATTCATTGGCTCTCTCCCTTCGTCTCTCCTGAATCCAAGCTCCTTCAGACATTTGAAAGACGAAAGTTAATTTCAGCCAGGAATAATGGTATCCTGGGTTCACTGCTGTCCCCTGAAATGTCACAGGCCTTTGATTTGGACTCTGAAGCTAGCTCCCTAGCTAGAGACGCTAGAGGGACGCAAGTGCTAAAGAGAGGCAGTTTCCCAGCTCAGACTCCTTCCCTGACACTGGTCCTTGGAATGGCCCTGGCTAGAAGGTCTGATGATTGCCATTTGCTTACTAATGCTCTCCAGGGGAAAAGCAGCTATTCTCTAAATCCTGTAGCTAAACTTTTGGCAGACTTGGAGCCACACTGTTGTGTAGTAAACTTTGGAGAGGTGTTTAAGTGGTAAAAATACAGCACAGTTGGAGGCTGAGCATGCTTGGAGACTTAGGAGAAGAAAGGCCAGGAGCCTAACTGACTTAAGAGGTTTCTCAAAAAGTATTCTAAGCTCCAAACACAGACAGTCCTCCAGATACTGGACCAAGCCAACTTTGCCTACCAAGTCCCCATGCTGAGGGTTAGTTAGCCTGCAGGGGGCATTGCATTTATCAGAACCAGATTGCCCCCATCCCTCCCAAAGGAACTGTTTTCCAACTCTCTCCAGGCCTGCAACTTGGGGAGAGCATGTTCCCTTTTATAGAGCCCCAAATACCAGGTAAATTCCTTCCAGTCTCAAAAAGATTAAAAAAAAAAAAAAAATCTACCACTAGCTTTAGAGATGAAGAGGCAGGTGCCCAGCCTCCTAAGCCCCTCTCTGTTTTAGAAACAGGGCACCAGGGATGAGTGGTACAAGGTGATCAAAGTGTGTTTTGTCATTGTTATCAGATGCCAGGGGAGCATTTGAATTCCTCCTTTGGTTTGAGGTCTGAATTCCATACCAGAGAAGGAGAATGACTGAGTGGAGGTGGCGGTTGCCATCCAAGTGCTGGGAGGAGCTTTGGGAAATCCTTGTGAGATGTGGTCACAGTCCCTTGAGGTGGTGTGTATTGCCTGGAGCTCAGTGCCTCTGAAAATTTTGTAGATTTTCATCTCCTGGCCTGTTTCATTCCCTTCTACTCTGTTCCACGTGACCCTTGGCAGGGAAGTGGTCTGGCTCCAATCCCCTGTAGAGATTGTTCCTTGATTGACACATCTCCTTGTGCTTCTGGGAAACATGCACTCTCACTTTGGTGTGAGTCTGGTTTCCTACAGTTTGGGTTTGCAATGAGTTTGTTTTATTTCAAGGTGCCGTGTTGAAAGAACCTGGGTTTCAGGATTTGGAAAGCTGTGGTAAGCAGGGCTTATCACTGAACAACACCCAGTCACTGTTGGAGGATATTTTCTACACCTAGCTCCAGTCCCAGATGTAAATGAGTCAATGAACTCTCTTCTCTTGGAAAAATATATCCAACCCTTGAGATTATAGAAGTGGGCCAAGCAGGGAAGCATGCTTTACATACTCATGGCTTCTTCCCAAAGAGCTCCCGAGCTCTTCTTGAACAGTTTGTATGTTTTTACTTTTTGCTTCTGTGGGAGGGGCGCTCTTGAAGGTGAGGTGGTGAGTGAGCTGCCTGTAATAACACTTTTTATAATGCTTGTAGTTATCTTTGCCAGGTTTTTGCTGTCTGGGATATTTTTCAGCCTCCTTTGGCCCTCAAGGCACCATCATGTAGAAATATTGGTTCTGGTTTGATGCTTTTCTGTGTCCAGATAGGAGGGCCATGGGAATGACGCTGGGTGGGGACAGACCGTGAGCCTTGCTCCTTGGCAAAGTTTAAACCACGCTCTCTTTTCACACACACCTTTAACTTTTTCATATAGGCACATTCATAGTTTTCCTTATTAATTTTCAATACAAACATCAGGCAGAGAAGAGCTACAGAGAAGAATACTTCAGCGAAGCATCCCTGGAGCCGCCTGATAGGACCAAGGCAATGCAGGGGTTGTACAAATACCTACACACAAAAGAGTGGGCGCGAAGAACGGCATCCTTGCTCAGTTGATTTTATCAGTTCCCATGGGTGGACACCCACTGGACAGCTCTTAGGGTCTGAGAACGTGGCCCAACTTTACTGAGACCAGACCCGCACCCTCTAATAGTCTTTTCAGTGAGTGGAGCTCAGAAATCATTGATCAGATGGGATTATTATAATTATCTACTTGTGTGCTAAAAAATGCTGCTGCTGTTTTCCAACTGAAAATTTAGTGCTTTGACCCAAATCCAGTCTAGGCAAAGGGACCTGTTGCCCTGGACTGGGCTGAGCTGGGTAATTTCTCATTCAGTCACAAGAACTGTGGCCGCTTCATCTGCTCCCTTGAATGTTAAAACTTCTGTTGAGTTTCACTCAAGCCCTTTGCTGGGTGCGTCTGCCATTAAACATATAATAGGATCAAAAGGGACTTGGAGACTTAAATCACCATTCCAACTTTAAAAAATGTAAATACGAATTCTTTCCTCTTTACCTTATCCTCTGCAAAGCTGACTTTTTTTTCTTGTAGAGACTCACAAGAGTTATAAATTTTTAAAGAGGCAGATTTGAAACAGGCTCTTTTCAGACAAGTAAGGGGACTTAAAGGCTAAGTATTGTATTTTTGAAATAGAGATACTACTTTAGGCCTTGATATTTCAAAATTCTCCTGGGCTTACCAAGTGACTCACTCACTGATTGCTTTGGGTGGATCTCTTAGAATTAGCAAACCTAACCAGGTGAGAGCGTGGGGCAACTTTGTCTCAAAGAACACATATGTCTCCATGGACATGTATGTTCCCAGAGCAGATGTCATCAGGCAGTAACTGAATGCTTGTCCTGGAGAACAGGAGAGTTGGAGAGGGAGGATGAAGATGGAAAAAGACTGAGCTCAAAACTAAGGAGACTAACGTAGCCTCAGGAGAGAATAGAACTTGATCATAGCAATGAATGGCAGATAAGTTCTAGCAAATTTCTATACAAACCACCTTCTCATGAGGTGCTCTGTAAAGGGTCCAGTTGAATCATGTGCCTGTCTTCTGGGAGTTCATGATTTTCCCATGTTGGACTCAGAAAATGTGGACCACTTTATCCATTAAGCCTGGTTTTGTTTCGTCGGAGCACCCCCCCCCTTCCTTTCAGCCACTCCTAGTGCATTGGTACTTCAAAGGAGTGTCAAATGAGAAGTGGGGAAAAACTATCTGGAAGGCCTTTCCTTTGATTTCCTGGTAAACCTCTGGCTGATGACGAGGTTGAAGTTCATATTAGCGACCTTTCTTGTTGCTGTGATGAAATACCTGATGGAAACAATTTAACGAGACTTTGTTTAGGTTCATGGATGCCAGTTGCTCATGGCAGGTAAGGCATGTTGGCAAGTGGCTCCATGGGGGAGGGCAACATGCTTCTGAGAATTCTCACCTGCTCATTTCTCAGAGGTACAGCAAACACTGAGGGGACAGGACTTGGGGGATCAGTATATAAACCTCAAATCTGCCCTTCAACCACCCACATCCTCCATCTAGGCCCCATAGCCCCAATAGAGTCACGAACTGGGAACCAAGCATTCAGACACATTAGCCTATGGGGGACATTACACATCCAGTCCATAACGAAGTTTCCCACTGAATGTCACTTGAGGCATTTAGCAGGGTTGCTCTGCCTTGCCATGCGTGGTGCATCTTGTTTCTGAGTAGATTATTCTAGATTGATTTCTCTGTTATTATACCAGTGTCACTTGTCCCCAGAGAACTGATACTGAAGAACCCTCTATCATACCAGCTAGAGACCCTAGACCCGGTTCATCAGGCACACTGGAAATGTGGGCAGATTGGACACATTGCCAGACAGACTAAATTGACAACAGGAACACAGAATGAAGGTGGGAAGATACTACCAGTTCACTTTTGTAGAGCATGTTCTTTCCGTGTGGCACCGTGTTGATGACTTTAATTTGAATTATCTAGCTCATTCATTTCCCATAACCATTTTTATACCCATTTTACAGATAAAGAAACTGGAGGCTAGAGAATTGAAATGATTTGGCTAGGGTCAGACAGCAAGAAATAAATCAAGCCAGAGTTTGACCTAGGAGGTTTGGCCACAACCCTGGCTTCTTATGCACTTTGCTGTTAGGAGGTGGTGTGGGTAGGACACGCGTGATGGGATGCACGTGGTGCTGATGTGGCAAATGCATGATTTGAGAATGGTGAATGGTGGTTGTCTTGTTGCCCAGAGACGCTGTCATGTCCTCTCCTTTTTTTTTCTGTTGTATGTTTTGTAGTATGTAAGCCCAAGGCTTCACACATGCCAGGTGAGTGCCCTACCGCTAACCTGCATCCTCAGCCAATTTAATTTTCCATTGGCTCTTCTGGGTGGGTCTGAGATAGGGCGTACACCACTATG